GATCGAAAATCCGGCGGCGGAATACTGGAGATTTGTCCAATCAGTGACACTTTCGATTTTTGATTTTCGACGGAAAACGTGTCTAACAAGGGCCACCCTCAGGAGTTTAGATTGCGCCGCATTTTTTGTTGGCCAGGTACAAGAAACCAAAATTTAGGAACGCCTGACAGTTTTCCATAAAATGACTGGAGTTTACAACGGAGGACACCCTTGCGCGGAAAGCGACCGGGCACCTCGCCACAGAGCAAAGCCAACGAGGGAGAGACTTGACAGCTGACAGCTGGTACCTATCGGTGATACCAAAGCATGTCATCCACTTGGGGGTCGCGATCCGACCTTCCCCAATAGAGATCGGTGTCGCCAACTATGATACATGGAAAATGAAGCACGTGAGATTCTATTTACGTAGAACGCAGAAGTTCAAATATCCCGCCGCCACGCGACGCCGCAACAGGCCCACACTCTGTGTCAGACGAAACCCGCGACGGGCAAATCTCTTAGATCTCCATCCACAGACCTCCAACGGGAGTTATGGCGGGCGCTATAGAAAGCCCACAACCTTAGCTGCTTGTATCACCCAACAGTTCTCAGTCCAAACCGACCTCGCAACGGCTACGCCATCAAGTACACGTACACAAGGGTTGGACCAGTTGAAGCTCTGGGCAGGTCGGCCGTCGGGGCGCTAGAACATACCTTCACCGACTAACGGTGGCGTGAAACCACCTAGAATACCACTGCGGTGTACGTACAGGCACCGTGCTTTTTCGATGGCGATTGTTGGACTGTGTGGGCTGCAGAGACGTGTTGTGGAACGTCTGCTCTGACCGGTGGTTGTGGGGGGGGGGGCTGCGTGAGGACGTATCCCGGCTACAGGTACGCCTGATTCTCTCTTTTCACATCATGCTACCTGAAGAACACTACTCCCTTTTGCAAAGAAGTCGCACGTAGTCAGCATTCACACGTCTTCACCCCAAACGATACCTGAGCGCAGCTACTCGTCCTTGCTTTCACTACTCCAAACGGTGGCCTACAGGGTTCGCGAGATCGATACCCAGTGCAAAAAAAAAAAGGTTGCGCAGCCTAAACTGCACCTGCACTTTGTTGAAAGCGCGGCTGTTTTTTTTTTTCTTCGTTTGAAAGGGTGGTGTTGAATAAACACCAGGTTGGTTGTTGGGGGAGGACTCACTTCGGTAGAGAGAGAGAGAGTGGCCTCCGGCTGTGCAGCTTGTAGGTTGTAGGTTGTGACGACCTAAGAGCGCTCGCCGCGGATGCGGCGGGCCAGCTGGATGTCCTTGGGCATGATGGTCACGCGCTTGGCGTGGATCGCGCACAAGTTGGTGTCTTCGAACAGGCCCACAAGGTAGGCCTCGGCGGCCTCCTGCAGAGCGAGCACGGCCGATCCCTGGAAGCGGAGGTCGCTCTTGAAGTCCTGGGCGATCTCGCGCACAAGGCGCTGGAAGGGGAGCTTGCGGATGAGCAGCTCGGTGGACTTCTGGTAGCGACGGATCTCGCGCAGGGCCACGGTGCCGGGCCTGTAGCGGTGGGGCTTCTTGACACCGCCGGTGGCCGGTGCGGACTTGCGGGCGGCCTTGGTGGCCAGCTGCTTGCGGGGAGCCTTGCCTCCGGTGGACTTACGGGCGGTCTGCTTCGTGCGAGCCATGGTGTTGACAGAGAGAAGCAGGAGGGTAGAGAGAAGAGAGAGAGATGGGAATGAACGATGTGGGGGAGGGCATCCCGCAGGAGAGCTCGCTACACAACGCGGCGAGCGGCGAGTTATGTGGCAAATTTGAAAATTGCCGGTTCGGATTTTGCCGCGTGTCGGACTCACGCCCTGATTGGACGTCTTTTCTTATTTGCAGCTCAAACCGGCACGTGGAATCTGATTCCTGCTACCGCTCTGCTCTTCTCTGCATCCCCTTGTTCACTACCCCGTCTCGTCTAGTGTCCAGCACCGAAACAGCAGCCATGTCGTCCCCGAAACCAACTTACAATGTGGTGAGCAGCGCAGCAATCGCGTAGATGTCCCCGGCGATAGGAGAATGCTCTTGACCTGTGTGGTCGGCGGATTACATGTACAAGCAGTAGACGACGGTTGGTTGTCTATTTACAGGACACTTGTTGAGGGCAGATTCAAGACGCATGGTAGGGTCGTCGCATCACCTTTTGCCGCCTGCTGTGGCCGTGAGTACTGTTGGAGCTTCTGCTTTCGACGATTCACGTAACTTGGGGGGGCGTAAACCCTCTTCTTACCCCCGATCGGTACAGCAGCATTCCCACAACAGAGCCAACCAGCCAACACGCCGTTTGTTTTGCGCCCTATCTCGCCGTCCTGCAGATGGTATTCGATGCCATCAAGAGTCTCAAGGAGCGGAACGGATCCTCCATCCAGGCCATCAAGAAGAGTATCACCGCCACCTACCCGGCCCTCAACTTCACGCCGCACCAGATGCGCAGCGCCCTCAAGAAGGGAGTTGAAACTGGCAAGTTCATCAAGGTGAGACACGCCTTGCCTCTTGCTCCCATTGGTGCATATTTTGTGTGCTGCGAATGACGGATTCGTCGATCTGGCGTGTCTGTGAGGCGGTTTCCCGTCAGCGTCTTCGCATCTAGCGCCGCTAGCATATGCGCTTGCCGTATGCTCTGTCCAAGGATGAGGTGGAGAAGATGTGCCAACAGGTATTGCTTGCACAGGTACATCCTCTGTGCGGACGGTTGCTGTCGGAGACAGGCATGCACACCTGCTCAGAAACTACTGCTGCTGTACAGCAGTCTATTTCTCTCCGCATAGCTGCTACTGGTGTACAGCAGTGTTAGTACTACTGCTCCTGTTCGTCACCCTTATACATATACAGCGTCCCCATCCCTGTGAGTCCCACACATGGACCCACTGCTGCACCATCCTTACCGCCGTGATTTATGGGTGTACACGCGTGCTTGGAAGATCTTTGACCGCAGAGAGCCAGTTGTGGGGAAAAAAACAAAAAAAATCAAATTAACCCAGTCACGTAAGGGTTAAGATAGGTTTTACCAAAGGGTTAGGCATGTGAAAGCAGATTCAACTCCGACTGATGATATTTATTTTTCTGCCAGCCAGGTTTCAAGTTTTTGTAGTGACCATGTTCCACAACACGGCGTTTATTTCGTGATGCAACACATCCACCAGGTGAAAAGCTCTTACAAGCTGAGCGCCGAGGCGAAGAAGCCCGTCCCCAAGAAGAAGGTCGTGAAAAAGAAGGTGGTGAAGAAGGTCGTCAAGAAGAAGGTGCCGAAGAAGAAGGTGGCCAAGAAGCCCGCTGTGAAGAAGACCACGACGAAGAAGCCCGCCGCCAAGAAGACCACGACCACCAAGAAGGCCACGACCACCAAGAAGGCCACGACCACCAAGAAGGCCACGACCACCAAGAAAACCGTCACCAAGAAGAAGCCCACAACCGCCAAGAAGCCCGCGGCTAAGAAGACCACCACCAAAAAGAAGCCCTCCACCCCCAAGAAGAAGGCTGCCGCTCCTAAGAAGGCCTAAGCTCAACCATCTCCAATTTGGAAATGCTTGGTTCGACCCTCCCAGCAAAAAACAAACTGGTGTTTACTCAACACCACCCATCCGACCAAAGAGAAAGCCGCCGCAACAGCGGCTAGTGGACAATAGAGTGTATCTTAGCCCTTAGTACCTAAGTCATCGGACTCTGCTTGGGGAGTCTTCTTGAGGAGGCTCACCGCTCGCCAGGTGAGGTAGTGTGGCTGCACGCGTTCTCCGTTTTGCTGGTCGAAAGGAACAGCGGGTTTTTCGTGCGGCAGAGCTCCAGATTTTCCTCTCCTGATCCCCTTATATTTCTCTCGAAGTCGCGAACAAGGTGTGGGCGATTGTGGTTTGCAGCTCTTGCTACTTCTGGTGCGTACCAGTGCTGTCGTCTGTTTTGCAGGCGTGTTCATCCTTCCGCCTCTCCATCTCCACCGCGTTCGGCTGAGCACAGGAGTGTATCAATGTTTCTTTGCCCATTCTTTGTTGGCAGGACTCCCTCCTGCCGACGTTGCACGGGTACCACAACTTCGGCATCGTGTAGGGTTAAAAACGCTTATGCTGTGAGGCGCTCTGCCTGGCGTGGTTGGATACTGAACAGGATGAGCTTTTGCGGCGAAGAGTACCAAAACAACATGCCACAGGCATGTGAGGTACAGACAAGCAAGTGATACGGATCAATTGCTCTACATCTGCTGGTGTGCGCATTTCCAAAACAATGGGCTTCGGCTGTGGTTGTTGTAACGTTCGCTACCATTCCACCAACGATATGTCAGCAAACAGGATAACGCGAGGCACGTGGAGGTCTGTTGTGTACCAGTAAGATGGTGATTATCAAAAAGTGCCTTTTTCTAGCTTTAAATAGTTCGCCCGGTCGGTGGCACATAAACGCAGGTCACGTATGTTGCACCCGTTTGCAGACGTGCGTCTCCGGCGCTACAATCCTTGGCGGTGTAGAGGGGTGTATGAAGGGGCGGGGGCGAACATGAATGGATGCATCTTCGTTTACTGAAGGGCATAACCGGCGTCGATATCGATGGCCTCCGTACCGTACCGTGCGATCATGGAAAAAACCATTGGATTGAAGCGGTGCATGAGGCCGAGTCTTACGGCTTGATTTTTCTGGGTTTTGGAATTGGGGGGGGGGGGGGGGGGGGG